GGGGGCAGGGCATAGAGATGAGACACTGTATGCCTCACCCACAGTCACATGCTCAGGGTCTGTGCAGCTAACAGTCATTCCTGTCTTGCTGGCTAGCCATAAAACACCTGTGTGTCAGAGCAGTGGCATGCCCCAGTGTGAATCGGTTTCCCATGTCCCTTTAGAGATAGCTGAGCTCTAGGACATAGTTGGGTGAGAATTCCCAGACAACTGTTTAAAAGAGGAAGACGGAATGTAGATGTAATGGTTGCAGCAGCAACCACTTTGCAACCATGAGGGAATGTTTTAGGAGCAAGAAGCTGTATGCTGGGGACTGTGGGGCTGGCAGATAGAAAGGACCCAGAGTCCTTGAGGTGGAGAGCAATATGCTATTTGACTTGCAGTTTTACTTTATGAGGAGACATACCTGGGAGGTGTCTAGTATATGTATGAGCTCTGAAAACCCTGAGGGAGAGCTGGAGCTCCAAATAAAACATCAACGTCCCTTTTTCTAGGCCCTTCCAGAATTTATGCATTGTACTAAATAATTTAGCCGCAAGCTCCATGAGTATTCACTGTTTTCTGACTAGCTGCATGATGGATTACTCCCCCTTTACCACAGGATCCTAACCCCAGGCACAGAAAAGAACATAATTCATCACTGAACCCTGGACAGGATGCAAAGCCGGGGCGTGAGTTCTGGGTCAGCCAACCCTCCCTCTCCTTTTCTGTGTGCGCGGTCATGATGTCATGCTCAGAGGGAAACTGAGTCCCAAGATCTGCTGTAGAATGAGAGAGGTCACAGGCCCAAACCCCACCCCCAGGAAACCATCAGGATGAGGTTGGAACTCACTGAGTGACGCCCAGTAGTCACATCCACACCACATTATCTCTGGACGCCACAGACCCCACAGCTCTTTGGCCATCAGTGTCTCTGAAGAAGAATGGTACCGGGTGTGATTTTTTTTTTTTTTTGAAAAGACATAAAAGTTAAAATAAAAGTCTACTTTGTTCTTTTCTGTCTGATCGGAAGTGAGTACAAGCTGATTAACTCCCTCCTGGCATTGTGTAACCTAACAGCAGCAGCTGCCTCCTGGGGGACCAGGAAACAGAGTTGGTGATCTGTGTTTCTCTGCATCAGTGAACATCAGCAGGCTGACTCAGCCCTTCACCCTCCCTGTGCCCTCAAGTCTCATCTCTGGGGGGAGGGTAGGAGCTGCATTGGGCCCCACATCCTCAGACCGACTGCAGGAGGTCAGTCCCTCTGAATATCTGACTGCAGTCCTACAGTTCCTCATGTAGGGACATGGCAGTGGGATGAGCGGGAAGTCTCTCTCTAGCCCAGTCCAGACAAGAGACAAAGAGAAGAAAAGGGACCACAGCTCCCGGGTGCCCCGCCCCTCCTCACTTGAGAAGACCTGTTCCTGACCAGTGTTGTCCCTGTAGCCCTGGTTCCTGGTTCAACTGAGCCGTGCTCTAACCTCTGCTGGCTCTCTGTGCTGAACACACCTGAAGACAGGCCCCTTTGTCCTTGTGTGGCCCCACCTGGTCCACTAGGTGTCCTAGTGATAGCTCAGGAAACCTCTGTCCCCTGTCTGTAATGTTGCCACCTCCTAAGCGGCACCTGGGTTCTGCTGATTCCCAGAGCGACTTCTCTGCTGAGTTCCAAACGTAATGATGACTTTCTCCACAACCTCCCTGATGACTGGCTGGTCACCTTTCCATCCCTGAGCCAACTCCTCCGGCTCTCCTCTTCCCAGGCCTAAAACAGACTGACAAATCAGAGGAGTTCGTCAGGGATGCTGCGGAATTCCCTTTGAACCAAGGAAAGGGGCGGCGAAGAACCAACCCCTGCAGCAGGGAATCTATGTGCTGCTGGACCGAGGCATCCTGTGGGGTTCCTGGGAGAGCCTGCAGCTCCATGCAGCCAACTCCAGCTGAGCAGAAGCTCTTCCTGCAATGTTCCATGCTGCCCGTGGAAGAGGTCCACATCCTCACTGTGGTGGGTGTTCAGGACCACACAAGCATACCAGTGATTCAGCTCAGAGAGGCACACCCAGGCCCCTAACAGTTGCCCTGTAGCTCTCCCCCAAGTCAGGAGGCCTCACCTGGGAGGGAAATAACAGGACAGTCCTAGGAGGATGTTTAGAGAATGCAATCAACAAACACAGACGAAGCCAGCATGATGGGGTAGCTGCTGTCTGAGCGTTCCAAGGAAACACAGGGTAGTCAATTCATTTCCAATTCCAGATAAGAATGAATAGGAGACATACTTAGAGGAATGTCCTGTTTTGTTTTGTTTGAAGTATGCCTGGCTTATCCTGGATCCATCTATGCTTAAGCCAGCCCCACCCTAAACTTCCCAGGAATGAGCTGGGTTCTTGGTATCCCATCTGGAGGCGCTCTCTGTGGAGTCCTCTGGAGAGAGTCCATTCCACCAACAAAGAAGAGAAGTGAAGGAAGTTGCCATTGCTATGCTAGGTCAGGAGGAACATGGTTCTAACCTTGCAGCCTCGGAGAAGGAGCTGCTGTTGTGTCTGACTGTGTTTCAGAACATCCGAGTCCTGGGTTGTTTTCTCTGACTTTCTTGGGCTGCAGATTCAGGGCCGAGGCTCAGTGTGCTGGAAAATGGAAGACAGCATACCTGCCTGCGGCTGGGAGCCCAAGGCCTAAGATGGAGCACCTGCCTGCGGCTGGGAGCTCAGGGCCTAAGATGGAGCACCTGCCTGCGGCTGGGAGCTCAGGGCCTTCATCCTCCAAGGCTCAGGGTCTCCCACAGCTTGTTTCTCTGAGGGAGTATTCTGAACAAAAGCCACAGGCTTCTCTTGGCCTCACCTGCAGTTTACGAGATAACGTTTAGGTGCCAACCTGCTAGTCAAAGCAGGTCATTGGATTTTGTGTGCATGTGTACATACTGTACATTATAATGGAATAATAATTTTTTTTTTGAGACAGGGCTTCACTGTGTATCCCTGGCTGGCCTAGAATTCACCACATAGAACAGGCTGGCCTCAAACTTACAGAGATCTGCCTGCCTCTGCCTCCCGAGTGTTGGGATTAAAGGCATGTACCATCACCACCTGGCTTAAAAAAAATCATTTCTTATCCTGGAAATTAAAATATAACGTCATATGTTAATTTTGGACGCTTTCAATAAGGCTCATTTTTTTTTCAGGCTTCTTCAAAATTTATTTGTTATATGGGGAATAAAAAGAAAGGTGAAACAAAATTATTGATTAAAGAGTCACAAAGACATGAGCAATTACAAATTTGGGGCATGTTAAAGAACGTGGGTTATACAGAAAACAAGCAAAATCAAAACATTATGGCATTTATGAAATATGATAGCCTGGGGCTCTGGGCCAGCTCAGAGATCGTGACAGCTTCGGCTTTCCCAGCCTCCATCACAGCCTGGATGAGCCGATTTGGTAAACGAAGTGCTTACAGCAAACCTCTGCTTTGCCAACTTGCTCTTTGCTCTGATGTCAGCTACCGTTTAGGTACAAGAGCTGTAGTGTGGAGTTCAGACTCCAGGCCCCCGGCACCGGCCTGTGTTAGTCCCACGGGGGCTTGTCTGACACTGCCAGATGACAGGAGGGCCCACTCCTGGAGACAGGCTCCAGGGACCTGTGCTCTGCTCCCTTTCCATCCACACGGGAAGAGTGGGGCCACGTGGCTCCCGCGGACACTGCAGGTCCCTGAGCCAGTAGAGAAAGTTGCTCCACTGTAGTCAATCCGCCTGTCTCTGTGGGCCACGCAGAGAGAAAATCCAGGGTGATTGACAGAGCAAATTGGATCCCCACTCTCCAACTCTCTTCTCATTTGCAAATATATTAGTAGGAACCTGCTGTGGGCCACTGCCAGGAAGCCGTCAACCATGCCTAACAAAGCCGGTGCCATCCCTTAAGACAGTGCAGAGGGATCGCTGGCTTCCCAGCTGTTAGCTTGGCAGGAACTTACCCAGTTGTGGGGAAAATAAATCCAGGATAAAGAGCCATAATTTACAAAGGGCAGCTCCTGCCCCCTGGGACAGGACAGGGTTTTCCTGACCTAGTTTAGAGTGACATCAAACTCCCAGCTTTCCAATGTCAGAGGGACACAGAGTTATGCTGAGTCCGGTAGGAGAGCTATGACTGAACCCCTCTCTACCCTCCTTCAAGACTTTCCAGTCAGACAGGGTACACTATAACTTTCTTGGTGTGGTTTTTAAACAGTAATGAATCCACAGTCATCACTAGACTGGGACCGAGTGGGGCGAACATAAAGCAAGAGTCCTGTGTTCTCTCTCACTTTTCCGGCACCAGCCAGTCACAGGAGACCACACCAGTCCACCTGAGCACTCAGGAGGGGACAGCAACAGGGCACAGGAATGACTGTAGGAAGGAGATGAAGGATCAAGAAGTGAACTCTTCCATCCTACCTGTTACTCTCACTCTTGTCTCAAAGAGGAGAAGCAGAGCATTTGAAAAGCATTTCTCCCAAACAATAACAACAGAACAAACAGCCTCCATCTCTTTCCCTAAGGGTCTGTGGGCCCCAGAGATAAGCTGAGCTCAGACATAGGTGGCAGTCAACAGGCCTGATGCCGCCGGTGGGACCCCAGCACCTCGGCACATGTCCTACAGCCCACAACTGCCCTGCTGTGGGGTCTCCTCTGACATCTGCCCTCCTTCCTCCCAGCCCTGCTGGAGGAATTTCTTCTGAAGAAATTTGGAAATAAAGGTATCTTGTTGTACTGGGCCCAGTCCTAGGCCTGCTCTCCACAGCCTTATGAGCTTCTTCCCACAGACCCCTGAAGTACTGCTCAGAGTGCTGGGAATGTTCAGAGCTCTGAACATGAACTCACTTAAGCCTTTCTGCTCGGCTCTCAAAATATCAGCTCCCCCAGAGAATCAGGCATGGAAGAGAACTTCCTTGGCTTAACAAAGTGTTCCTCCAGGAACTCAAAGGTGTCAGAAGACTTAATGCTGAGAAAACCATTAACTCCACCACCAAAGGAGTTGGACCTTAGCAAGCTTCACGTGGGTCCTGATATGCAGCTTTATTAACAATCAAAAGTAACCCAGATGCCCTTCAGACAATTAAGTAAAAAGGTGGTATGGCCAAACAATGGAATATTTAGTACTAAGAAGTAAAGAACTCTCAAACCATGAAAAGAAGTAAAAACTTTACATGCATATTGGTAAGTGAAAGAAGTCCATCTTAACTTCAGCTATACAGTATTCTGGGAAAGTCAAGACTGTAGAGGTAGTAAGGCCAATGGCTATCCGGGGCTAGGTGGGAGGGGGTGCTGCAGTTTGGATCCTGGGTGTTCTGCCAAAGCCTGTGTGTTGAGGGCATGGTCCTCAGCTTGGCGCTGTGGTAAGCAAGCCCTGGTGGAAAGGAGTTAGAGGTCTGTCAGTGTGGAATGAAAGAGGGGATACTGGGACTCTGGGCTCTTCCTGCCTGTCTCTTTGCTCCCGATGGATGTGAGGCAGACAAGCCTCCTCTGCTATGTGGTCCCCCCACACGGTGCTGTCAATGCAAAAACCACAGCTATCGTCTTACAGGGAATAAGGGATAGTTGATTCTGGAGCCATTTTTGAGTGACCATGGTTCAGGAACACAGGTTTAGTATACCTCAAATTCCAAATTTCAACGTGAAAGCAGTTTGATGAAGTTTTACAAAAATCATAAAAAGGAAGTCATAGATCAAGGCAAGTTTAAAATACATTGGTGGGGACATCAGAGAGGCGGGTACATTGAGATGGGAGGAGCTTTTCTATTGGCCTAAGATGCTGTCTGATAACAGTCATAGGCCTGTTAATAGATTCCATCCTGTTAGTCACAGGATGTTAGTTCTTATTCAGAGTTGTATAGACGGACGTTTTCCTGTGTCCTGCAGATGCTCGGTCACAAATAAACACACAGAGGCTTATATTAATTACAAACTGTTTTTGGTTTATGGCTCAGGCTTATTGCTAGCTAGCTCATTCATCTTAAATTAACCCATCTCTATTACTCTATGTATTGCTACATGGCCATGGCATTACCAGTCTGCTGGCATGTTGCTCATTGGGTGGCTGGATGGTGTCTCCTGACTCCGCCCTTCCTCTTCCTAGAATTCCCCTAGTCTGTCTGCCCTGCCTACACTTCCTTCCTGGCTACTGGCCAATCAGTGTTTTATTAAACAATTTGAGTGACAAATCTTTACAGTGTATAAGAGCATTATCCCACAGCAGAGGTGGGCAAGCAGTGGCTATTCCAGAGGGCTAGAAGTAGCCCACGATAAGATAATTGACCTCTGTACCTGTGACGTTCCAGTTTCTCCATAGTACCAAAGTTTTAATCTATCAGTCTGTCTCTACAGATATAGCTTCTTTTCTTGAGCTCCTGTTCACAATGCTGCCCCAGGACAGGCCTGAGAGCCACAGGTCAATCTGCTGAGGACCTGTGAGCCCAAGTGAACCTTTTTTCCTTCCTAAGTTGAGAATTCCTGTTATTTTGTTATACTGATAGAAAGCCCACCCAGGAGGGATGAGCAGGCAGAAGTTGGGGGCTTTTAGGGTGGTGAAAATTCACATATGCACATATTTTTGTACTCTCGAGGGACACCTAACCAAATGTGGACTGTGGGTGGTGATGGGTACCTGGAGGCTCCTCCGTGCAGCAAATGGACCACTGGGACATTGGGGAGAGGGGAGGAAGGCCCTGCTGGGGGCCCGTTGGAAATCTCTGCATCTTCCTCCCAGTTTTTTCTGTGAGACTAAAACTGCTCTAAAAGCATAAAGTCATTTTAAAAAGGAGAGCGCAGCTGGAGAGGTGGCTGGATGGCGATAGGCATTTGCTGGCAGGCCTGGCAGGCTGAGTCCTATCCCTGGGACCTCCATGGTGGAGGGAGAACACAGGTTCCCTCAGGTTGTCCTCTGCCCTCCATACGTGTGGCGTGGCACACACCCACTCCCTCCCCCACAAAATGAGTAAGTGTGATTAAAAAACGTATTCAGTGACAGCTAAACAATATTCAATTAAATATTAAACACTGTATATTTTATTTTTTATTTATTTACTTATTTATTTATTATTTATTTTTCGTTTTCCGAGGCAGGGTTTCTCTGTGTAGTTTTGGTGCCTGTCCTGGAGCTCGCCCTGTAGACCACGCTGGCCCCGAACTCACAGAGATCCGCCTGGCTCTGCCTCCTGAGTGCTGGGATTAAAGGCGTGCGCCACCACCACCTGGCAACTTGTGTAATTTAGAGACTGGGAAACCAAAGAGCATTCGATCCTCTGTCTGAGTGTATGTCTCCACCCTTCCTCCATGTGGACAAGCCCTCTGTCTGTGCTGAGCGGTCCTGCGTGTGGCCTGTGGTTCCCCTTCCCTACTTTAGATCTTACAGACAACACCCAGGAAGACCACAGTGGAGACAGCTCCTAGTTGGGAGCTAGCATCCCTGAGGCTGTGTCTAAGACTATTGACTGTCTGCCACACAGAACCAGGGGACAAACCCAAAGTGGAAGAGAGGCCGGACAAGAGACACAGCTCTCCCTGTCAGCTCTCCCATGGCACAGCGCGTCTGAAAGAAGCAGTTTGTCAGTTCTACATTCCAACACACACACTCATGAGCTTGTCTTGATTCCTCGTGCACTCACCGGTCATCCCCTCCACCCATTAGAGTCCTCCCTTGAATTCCTTTCTCACCCTTGTTACTGTAACAGCTTCCCCCACATTGTCCACCTGTGTGGGGAATTCCAGCTTGGAAACTATCCCCTAGGGCGTTGAGAGAACACTGTCCAGGGCGGGCATTCCAGTTGCACCCCCTGAGTGAGGAAGGAAGTCCTGCGTGGACACACAAGCCTTCCTTAAACCTTTGACCCATATCCAGCCCCACTGTTTGATCCTTTTTCTCTGAAGCAGAGCATGTTTCAAAGAACGTGGCTAGGAATGGATACAGGAACCCTCCTAAAGTTGCCAGCCCTCCATCTTGCAGTGGACTCTGGCCTCTCTCGGTATTTGCACAAGTGTGGGTTTTCTGGCCAAACAGCTCATTGTAAACAAAAGCCTAAATTCATCCCGAGAGTGGCATTCAACCTACTCCGTTCTATCTTTTTTGAACTCTGCTGAGTCCTGGACTCAGATTTGACATTGTGCAACTTCCTGACAGTGTCTGGCCGTTATCCTGGAGGGAAAAGGCTATTTAAGTCCCTGCTCACAACCATACCCATTAGCCACAACAGAAACAGGCCTTTCAGTGCCCAGGATGGTGCCCTGAACTTGCAATGCCCCTTGCGATCTGAGTTAAATTACAGTGCTTTCAAAGCTGCTCCCCAGCGAGCCTGCAGAATGTGGAGGCTTTGGGCTCCCACCCTCCTCTGTGGATCACAGCTGCGGCTCCAATCCACATGAATGAAAGCTGAGAGGACACCAAGGGTGTGTGCCTGGGCCTCAGACCTCGGTAGAGCCCAACACTGCAAAGCTGTGGGAGATCCAAGGGTATCTGAGGCCTGAGCTACACAGAAGCTAGCCAACTCCCCTCAGGATACAGTCATCATGCAGAGATGCAGCCCCTAGTGATCCCTCCAGGGCCCTCTGTCTTCACATTTACCTGTGAAGCTAGTAGACATGGTGTCCTCATTTCACAGATAAGAGCTCCTGTGAAGGAGAGCTTCTGTGAATTCCCCGGGATTCCAAAAGCAGAGAGAGACAAAAACTCACAGTTTCTGCTGGCTCCCAGCCCAGCCATGATGTCAGGGTATGAAGGGACAATAAAGTCCGTGGAAAACTCCTCAGCACCCTCCTAGCTGACCCCCTGACTGCTCTGACTCATGCTCTGTGCCGTGGGCCCCTTCCCTGGAGACCCTGCTCTCAGCCCCACAGGGCCCTGAAACTGTGTGTAGAGTTACTGGACTTTGCAAAGACTGGTCTACAGCATGCCAGGCAGGCTTTCCCCTGTCCAAGATGTCATTTGGCCACTCATCTCCTCTCTGATGTTATGTATGTGTGTGCCTTCTTCCATATCTTCCCACTGGAGGCCCGGGCTTCTTGGTGGAAAGAGCCCATCCCAGAGAAAGTCCAATGTACCAAGCGCACAGGGGACAAAGGGAGGTGGGCTCCTTGGACCCTGCCTTGGGGTCTCGCTGGGGAGGAAGCAGTCCCTAGGATTGCTCCTGTCTGACAGGTGGTCAGAGCTGAGGTGGGGACCCTCCCCACCGCGGCTCACTCACCACGCAGATGGAGAGCCTGTGTTTGAAATCGAGCAAATCTTCTACTTACCTACTGAAAAGAAAAGCTCCGTGACTTGAAGAGGCCCTCACAGTTCACCAGGGATCAGTGACCAAGACGGGTGACCAAAGCCACCACTCAAACCAGAGTAACTGCTGCCAGCGAAGCTGCAAAGGCACCTCACCTGCACCAAGAAAGGTCATTTGCAACTTGTGTAGTGCATTAAAAAGAGAGACTAGGAAATCAGGGGTCTTGCCTGCACGATACCAAAGGAGATAAAAATGGACCCCACGGTCCTCCTGGCACCCCACTTTATATCAGTAAGTGGTGGGGTGCAGTGTCTCTGAGTCTCATGAGAGCCACACTGCTTTGGACAGATGCTCAGCTGGCGTGAGAGAGACGCACAGCAAAGATGAAAGAGAATGCCACTTCCCACCAGGACATACTGTGCCAGCGAGCCTGTCTGCGTTGGTGGATGTGAGTAACGACAGAGAGCAGTTCCTGGAGCATGTTTCTCTACATCATCTTTGTTTCCAGCCCCTCTGGTCAGCAGAACACCGTATCCCGCCGTGCTCACCAGAGAGCAGATTCATTAAGTCGGAGCAACAATGCTATAGTTTGTTATTACTATTAAACAGCAACTGCTTGTCTTTCCACAAAGGTATGTTTGTGTGTGGAGGTGGTGCATGTACATGTTCCTGTGTGTGAGTCTTTGTGAGTGTGTATGTGTGTGTGTGTATGTGTGTGTGTGTGTCTCTGTGTGTCTGTGTGTGTGTCTCTGTGTGTATGTGTGTGTGTCTCTGTGTGTGTCTGTGTCTCTGTGTGTGTCTCTGTGTGTATGTGTATGTGTGTGTGTCTCTGTGTGTGTCTGTGTGTGTCTGTGTATGTGTGTGTGTGTGTGTGTGTGTGTGTGTGTGTGTGTATGTGTGTGTGTGTGTGTGCCAGAGGTCAATGTGGAGTGTCTTCCTCAGTCACTCTACACCTTATGTTTTGAGATAGAGTCTCTCACTGAACCTGGATTTTACCATTTGACTAGGATGGCTAGCCAGCGAGTGCTATTGGTGAAATTATTAAGGCCACTCCACGTAGTTAAAAGGAAGATTTATTTAGTGGGTAACTAAAAATGAAGGGATAGGTAGGTCGCGGGGTCTGGGGAGCTCTGATCGGTCATCCTCCACCGTCTAGGGTCCAGGAACAGAGAGAGCGCTTGCCCATCTCCAGGGTCCTCCCTTGGCCCCGCCTTGTAGGCGTGACAGTTGCTGAAGCCTCAATGGGGGTTGGAACTTCCAGATCAAAGCTGGAATGGCTACCCACTACATCCGTGGTCTCCCTTCTCCATGCCCCGCGTCCAGCACTGGGGTCGCGCACACACACCGCCACGCCGGCTTTCACATGGGAGCTGGGGATTTGAACCCAGGCCCTCAAGTTTGCGCAGCAAGTGGTTTCCTGACTGAACCTCCTCCCGGGCCCCTAAAGAATAATGTTTGAAAAGACTTTTCGAAGTAAAATGTCCTGCCAGGAGAGGCTCTGTCCTAGAGACTACCTTCCAGCGAGTGGGAGGGTCACCAGCGTCCCAGGCTTTGACGCCAGCTCTTCTTGGGCTCTCCTAGCCAAGAAGGTCCTTGCGGTCCACTGGGCTGTCCCTCTCTCAGGACACCCTGAAAGGCATTCCCACCCAAACACACGCCTGGGAGGTGTTGGGGAAAGACCTACAAGCACAAAATGCTCAAGCTCTCATAAAGTCTGGAGAGATTTTTCAATAACACCAATCCAATTTGGTTAAATTATAGTACCTTCATATGATGGGATACCATGCAGTATTAAACCTTGTCTTGCAAAAATACTTAGTTGCATGGATCCTTTTGGTATGTATTAATTACAAATGTATTGACATGGATTATACACTGTAATCACAATTTTGAAGAAAGTATATAGCAAAGGAGGAACCCGATAATGACAGTGAAGTCATCTTAGGTAATTTTCTTCATACACTTTTGTGCACATTGTGGGGGCCCCATGTTGGGCACCATCTGTGAGAACTTTTTCCAGGATTCCTATAAGGAGGAGAGAGGGATAAGAAAATATTAGATAGGAAGATAGCGAATAGGAGAAAGACAGAAATACAGGATAGCTTCGGGAGGACCTGGGTCAATACCCTACAGCCCCTTCTGGCTCTTCAAAAGGGCTTTTTATAACAATGCCAAGGGGCGGGACAAAAGATCTCCCCCTTGCTAGATCAAAGCACACCACACAGCCAAGTGCAGACCTTTCCAAACACCTGGTAACCATGCCTGTGGTCAAATCATCCCCTTATGCAGCCCTGCTGGGTAAAGCAAGCTCAGATTCTTGGACCCTGAGCAAGTTCTTACTAGGAAAACTCTGTGGGTCTCTGCAACACATTAAATTTTTTTCTGCAACAAATTCGAACCCTAGAAGAACAGGGATGGTGAGTGTATGATGGAAGAGGCAGAGACTATTGACGATTTGCTGGCCCAAGCTCACCAGCTTCCTTACGGTATGCGCTGCAGCCTCATAGGTGGTACAGGCAGGGCCTAGCCTAGCCTGCATGCCACCATACATGTACGTTGCTGAAGTTCCTCTTCTATCTGTGAATCATCCCAAGCAGGCCTTCCCCCAGATCACATGTGGGAAAACTTGAGTTCCAGAGTGCTTGCCCTTAGAGAGGGCAGGCTATCCCTAGAGCTCATGAGAGGCTGGTGGCCCACAGTTGGACAGTCTGGCCATAGCTGAAGAAGCTCCTGTTTCCACAGGAGAAAAGTAGCTCAAGCTGAACTCAAGGAGAAGAAAGGGGAGCCAGGCACTCCTGAATTTTCCTTCTTTGATTTACATATGATCAGCACAAAATAAACACAGAGTTCCTGTGTGACCAGTGGACTGTCACTCTTCCACACATCAACCCAACTCTGTTTTTTCTATCACCCTGGGAGTTTCTTTCTATGCTTTTCCCATCAAACCCTCCTAAGTTCTGTCCTCAGCTCAGGCCTCCACGTAGACGCCCCATGCAGTTCAGCCCCTGGTGCTGGGCTTCTCTGGTGTCCAGTGATGCTATTGCTTGTGTCTACCATCTGTCACTTTGTTACTAAATGGTGTCCTACTGTGTGAACACCACGCCATTGGTAACTCACTTCCTGATTACTGGACATTTTGGCTGTTTCCCATTTGGGATTGCGTCCAGTTTGGTCTGTGTTGCAAATTCCAGAACAAGTGTTCAAGCGAATACAGTTTTCTGTGCCCTTGGATAAGCGTGGAATTGTTAAATCATAGGAAAGATGTATGTTAGGTTTGAGGGCTTTTGGTTTGGGGAGCTAGGGGTCGAACCCGGGGCTTTGTGCATGCTAAGTATGTGCTCTACAGCCTTGGTCCTGAGAGAGTATGTTTGACTCAAGCAAAAGCTGCGAAGAGCTCTCCCTCCCAAGCAGCTGCTCCACACGACGCTCTCATCAACGTGACCATCGTCCTAATGGTGTCCACTGAGGCTTTAACTGGTACCTCTGTGTTGACGCATGGTGCCAAGCACCCTTCATCCTCTTGGCTTCTGTATGATGTCCACGGCTTGTTTGTCTCGCGGCGTGATTGTTGGTTTGGAGTTGTTCAGCCTGGATCCTAGCTTTGCAGTTACGCATGCGGCAAAGCTCCCCTCTCAGTCTTGACTGTTAATTGTCTTAATCTCTTAATCTTTTGAGGAACAGAGATTTTTCAATTTCACGAAATTCAAATTCTGTTTATCGCCCCCACCCCCTGCCACCCGATGCGCTGTGTTGCCTTGGCTGAGCTCAAATTATTGGGCTCAATTTATCCTCCACCTCAGCCTCCTGATTAGCCAAGTCTGTAAGTGTGCATGCCCATACTTAAATGTGCTTTGTTTTTATAGTTAGTGTATTTATGTCTTGTACAATAATTTTTTGCTTACCCCAGGGTCACTTGAATTTTTTTCCTATATTTTCTTCCAGAAACAGGATATTCAGGGCTACAGTCCATTTAAATTGTGTAGAGGCAGAAAAAGAAGTCAGATTCCTTTTAATTTACCTACACATATTTATTTGAATCAGAATATCTGTTTTTATATTACGTATATATGTGTAGGTACATGAGTGCAGGTTTCCTCAGAGTACAGAGGGGTGTTGAGCCCCTGACACAGGAGCTGGAAACCCCTACAAAAGCAGTGTGCACTCTTAACTGTTGCCATCATCTCTCAAGCCCCTCAAAACATGTATTCTAAAAGACTGCTGGGGTTGGAGATATAGCTCAGGAGTTACAAATGCTTGTTCTTGCAGAGGACCAAGGTTAAGTTTTCAATACCCACATGGCAGCTCACAATCGTTCATAACTCCAGTTCCAGGGGATCTGAAATGCTTTCCTGAACATTGGGCACCAGGTATATGCACATGGTTCGCAGACATTTATACAAACAGTTCATCCACATAAAATAAATCTTAAAAAAAAAAAAAATCCATAAAAGGCTTTGC